TGATGGGTGACGAAATTGACGAAATTTGACGAAATAAGAATTTCGTCAATTTCGTCACTATGAAAATAATTTCGTCAATTTCGTCATTGCGAAAATAATTTCGTCACCCATCTATAATGTTAGTTGCTGTATTATTGGTCAATAAAATTGAGAATATTAAATATTTGACCAATATGCGCAACCTCTGTGAGGGAAACCTTTACATTGTTGTATGCTAAATTCGGCTATTATTGTAGATTGACAAACGAAAACGAACAAGAAATAAGGGTAGCGAAAAGGAAAACCTTGTCCCATCATCATCAAAACGTACGAGATCTATTGTTCAAGATAAGAAGTTATATGGTATGTTGGAAAATAGAAATGATCTAAAATATTGCATTAAACCATACGCCAATGACTATAGTATTCGGGAGATTGCAAATTTCAAAAAAAAATTTGAATAGCACTGTAACTGTTGAATGGGAGAGCGAGTCGAATAGTATAGATGATATACTAATTTAATTCCAACGATGTACATTTAAAATGATGAATTTAGACGGTAGTTTAGAGATCGTATATAACCTTCAAGTAGTAGTCTTGTTAGGATGTTTAATTACGGAAGGCCGAATATTGACACTTGATGCTTGGTGATGTTATATGAGTGATTAATGCGGATACAATGATGAATAATGGCTCTGTTTATTTTCTTCTGTGCAATTATACACTAATCTAGCTGTTATAATTGTAGAATTCGACATTTTAGTAGCTCCAAAACGTACAAAGACATTCAAGTGGGTTGTAGATGTCAATAATGCGGCGCTTGAAGATCTCCGAAGTTCTATAATTGCGATGCACCATTTAAGAAATGGAAAAAAATGGTGCATCGCTCACTATTACATGTAATGGTGAGAAGTACAATCCACTTAATAATTCGGAGTTCCAAAACCAACTCCAGTTATTTGTGTCGAGAAACACCATGCTATTAACCGTATCTTTAAGAGAAACATTATCATTTTCGCAATGGAGCTTCCGCAAAGTATATGACTTTTATGGGCTCGGTGAAGAAGACGAACCCCAATTGACAGCACTCCCTCCCCTTGACTGTGGCTGCGCGAAATTAGAAGGTGAAAAGGCAGAATCCATTATTAAACATATTATGTTTAACCTGAATCTCCGACATAAGTATATGCCTACCGGTAACGAAGCGTCTAAGGTGCAGTATGTCGGTGTATACCTTTTAGCTATTTCTGCTTTTTTTTGAGGATAAGTTGGAGATTCGTGTTGAGAAACAGATCTCAGGTCCGAATGGACATGGGCCTGTCGATTTTGCCTTAGTTTCACAAACTTCTGAAGTAATTTGTGTAATAGAAGTTAAGGCAAAGGACTTCCTACAAGGCATTGCGCAGAATACTGTGCAATGCGAGGCAGCTCTAATGAAATGTAGGAAAAATGTTCTCGGAATCATAATTGATTCTGAGAAATGGTACTTCTTGAAATGCTCATTAGACAGTGAAGAAAAGCCCAATTTTAGTTTATCGAGGCCTTTAGTCGTCGTATATGGCGATGATGATATGGAAAAGCGGGTAAAAGAAGTTTTAGGGCACATTGTATGGCTATTGAATGATTTTCAAAACAAGTTTGGAGCCGTTTAACCGCGCATTAATGTTCCGCAAAACCGATCCCGGTATCATGATTTTTTAGAAAAA